ACTTCCTCACCCCACCCCTGATCCTGTCCACCTCTTCCACCAAACAACTCCGAGACACCCTAAAACCAAGCAGTTCCCATTCAATTGAGTTCAATGGGACAGACATGGAAGATACCTTACTTTTCACCTTTGGGATTAAATAGGTGAACTATGGCCAAAAACAAGTGAAGATTTGCCGCAGTCTGGCTGGGCACAAAATCACGAGCCACCACACAGCTTGTAGATTCAAACAGCAACTCTTTATTCCTGAACTCACACCAGCCATCTACAATCACATTCTGGGGAAATCCACGTTCTCTGCCCAAATCCACCCCCACTGGGCTTCTGTCTCCCAAAAAATACTGTCTGAATCCCGTGAGAACTCAAGGGGAACTCAGGCAGCAGGATATGCCCTATTCCCAGCAGGAATAATCTTAAACCTTAAACCTGGAACCTAAACCGAGAACGCCCTAAACTCGGATCCGCCTGGTCCTTGAGCAAGGTCACCTACATGCAATGTCACTGCAAAATGTCCTATTTCCACGAGTCCTTCCACTAAGCAACATGGGGTACGCTGGCAAGGAAATTGTCATACCTACTTGGCTAATGGCTCCCAGCATCTCCCCCCTTCTGATTAATTAAACAACAAGCAATGTGGCTTAAGGACTGTGCCTGGTAGGTTGTCCAATTCAACATATGGTTCTTACCTGTCATCGGAAAACTGACCTTTAGGCGTCAGCCTCCTGTCTTAGGTTGATACCACTGCAATTGAATCATACCCATCACTGACTACCGGTCCAGCATACAGCCATACTTGTGGATAGGTCTATGCACCAGTGGGGGGGTGAGGTTCTTTGCCTCACCTCTGTTGGCCCCCAAATTTGGCCTTGGTGCCAGTGGGGGAGTGAGGTTAATGTGGCTTAAGGACCGTGCCTGGTAGGTTGTCCAATTCAACATATGGTTCTTACCCGTCATCGGAAAACTGACCTTTAGGCATCAGCCTCCTGTCTTAGGTTGATACCACTGCAATTGGATCATACCCGTCACTGACTACCGGTCCAGCATATAGCCATTGGCCCCCAAATTTTAGACCATCACTAGCAGAAGGGAGGAGGATACAGAAATGCCACGACACCAAGCCAATTGACGGCTCCTTGGGAAAAATTGCATCACTGGTGACACCATCAGCAAAGATATGCCAGCATTACCACAATTCGCTGCACCAAACGATAGTTACATAGTCCAGGCAAGTTCTGTAAGCAGTTCAAAGCGGAGGAATCTATCAATATGTCCATTTCCTCCCCAAATCCGTTTCCTCCCAAAGTAAGTTGACTCCTTGATTGAGCATTACTTGTTGAGTTATATTCATTGATGCATCAGTTTATACAGTTTACTGTGATAGCTATCATAGAAGCTGTAGTTTGGTTTTATCTTTGTCTTCACCGGCACTGGGATGAAGATAGGAATTCTGGCAATGATGCTAAAAAGACATTATCCTGAAAAGAATTATTAAATATAATGAAAAGGAAAGGTGAAAGTAAACAAACAGATCTGTTAACCTACTTTAAAAACAATCCTTAACAGCTGTTTACCTAATTTAAATTAGTAAACAAACAGATCTGTTAACCCCCTTTAAAAACAATCCTTAACAGCTGTTTACCTAATTTAAATTAAACCATTTAAATCACATGAATAAAAAAAAATAATAATTCGGATCCATTTTTTCATTAGCGCTCCTCATATAAGAAATATGGACATACGCACATACAGACATACAACACAAAACACAAATGTGCACACAAACGTACAACACATAAGAAAATAGTAAAGGCCTTGTAGCTTTACCTAGGTGAAATCTCCATTGCAATGTTTAAAAACTCCACAGTCAAAAAATAAAACTGATCAGAAAAACATTAACCTAGGTTTGTATGAGCTCAAAAAATAAAATAGAACTTTATGATGTGGGAAAATGCAATAATAAAATAGCTATTGAAAAAAGCATCCTGGTTAATCACTGTCGCAGATGTAAGAATGGCCAAGCTGGAGTTCTGGATATCAGCTGTTATGGACTTGAGTCAAATCATCTTCTTTTCGATCTGTAGAAATTGTTTTAGTTAATCTCTCGGGAATCCAAATCGGCTGCTGTTCTCCCTGTGGAAACACACAAACAGACCCCCGACTCCAGACAATCACTGGGTCAGGACCTTTCCATTGTCCTGTTAGAATATCTTTCCAAAGTACTTTAGGCTTATGTACATTTTTTGGATACATATGCCTTTCCACAGCACTAAGTCCTGATGAATCCCAATTTAAAAAGTTTAGAGTAAAAGCGTTATTTTAAGTTTATCTTTGGGGGATATATACCCCCTTCCAATTCCCTCTTTTTGCTTTAATAAGTACATGTCTGTATCTAATAGTTGCCTTAGCTTTTTGCATTTTCTATCTGAAACACCTTACTTGACATTTTCAACCATTTTTTATCTTATTTCTATCTTCTAATTTTTTTCCCCCCTAAGGTTTGTACATTCACCCTTAGTTGCTTTTTTTTCCTCTTAGTTTTCTTGTTTCCTATTTTGTGGGTTTAAAATTATTGTCTTCCTACATCTTTTTTATCTTCCTACATCTTTTTTATCTTTTTAACTTTCTATACTTCTGTCTTTAAAGTTTTTCACTTTAAATTTTTAATCTTCTTTATCTAAATATCTTTTATCCTATTATCTTCCTATTTTCATGGGTTTATTTATTTATTTTTTTAAGTAATGCCTTTAAGATTAACTAGGCTTCGAATGACGCAATCTTTCCTCTGTCATGAAGGCATCTTAACCACCTTCAATTTAACCTTTTAAAGCCTTTTGCAACTTACTTAGACATTTTACAACTTTTTACTTTATCACACAAAGATTATCTCATCTAAAAACATTTCTTTTTCTTTTAACCTTCCATATTAAAATATATTTCCACATCTTGAATCTTTTTATATCTCTTTTTTCCTTTTTCCACCATGAAGGTATCTCGACCACCTTCAATTTAACCTTTTAAAGCCTTTGAATTATCATCTATACTATACTTTTAAATGTACTTTTTCACCACCTACAACTTCACTCTTTTAAACGAGGGTTAGATTTTGTTTAAATCGCTTCAATGTTAGTTTACATGGCTGCCCTTCAACCAAAGGCTTTTTTTTTAAACTCCATTGAGAAGCTTTGTCTCAATCTGCCATGTACAAATACCTTTTTTCTTCTTTTTTCTTTTCTCAAGCTTTTAAAGTAAGTCTAGTTTCCTCAAAATCTTTTTAAATGGCATTTTACAACTTTTTACTTTACCACACAGAGATTATCTCATCTAGAAACATTTCTTTTTCCTTTAACCTTTTATATTAAAATATATTTCCACATCTTGAATCTTTTTCTATCTCTTTTTTAACCGTTAACCCTTTTTTATAAATTCACATTTTGAAACAACTCTTATAAAATTTCTGATTTAGACAAATTACTCCACTTTAATAAGATGAAAGACTTTCATGTTTTTTATGATACTATAATACTATAATTGAAACCCAACTGAAAATTTTTCTACTCTTTGTATATAAATTACACATGATAGAATCTTAACACTTAGTAACCTTGTTTTAGCAAAGACACAGACACAAAGCAATATTAAACATTTTTCCATTCACCAATTTATGAAAACACACATAATGTTTAAATATATTACCTTATGGAACTTAATAAGTAAAGAGTACTTGATTTCATATTTAGTGGTTGATATTTTAACACTTTAGCTTTGTAAATTAATCAGATGTCTGTAAAAACCAAGATCTTAGACAAGTGTCGTAAACAGAACCAGCCATCTCTTTCTTGTTGAAGAAAAATCCTTCTACAGGATACCATGATGGTCTCATTAATACACTTAAATAACTCATCTTTAAAAAGCCATGGGCCACATTTTTGTATTGTATCAACATATGTCCTAACTGTTCTTGGTCTTACTGGGGTGCCTCTTTCCTCTAACAATTTTTCTTCCTCGGAGGCGAACAACTTCAAACCTTGAGTCAACCATTTTCCCCAGTTTGCCTGAGAAAGTTCTAGGAACAGGCAACTTGAAATAAAAACAAAATAAATCAAAACAATAACACATTGTTTTTTGAAATGGTCACCCATTCTTTCGCTCTTCCTCAGGGGCGAGCAATTTCACTTACCTCCAAGCTTCAGAAGTTCCCCGCACGGGATGCCAAATGCCGCAGTCTGGCTGGGCACAAATGCCGCAGTCTGGCTGGGCACAAAATCACGAGCCACCACACAGCTTGTAGATTCAAACAGCAACTCTTTATTCCCAAACTCACACCAGCCGTCTACAATCACGTTCTGGGGAAATCCACGTTCTCTGCCCAAATCCACCCCCACTGGGCTTCTGTCTCCTCAAAAATACTGTCTGAATCCCGTGAGAACTCAAGGGGAACTCAGGCAGCAGGATACGCCCTATTCCCAGCAGGAATAATTTTAAACCTTAAACCTGGAACCTAAACCGAGAACGCCCTAAACTCGGATCCGCCTGGTCCTTGAGCAAGGTCACCTACATGCAATGTCACTGCAAAATGTCCTATTTCCACGAGTCCTTCCACTAAGCAACATGGGGTACGCTGGCAAGGAAATTGTCATACCTACTTGGCTAATGTCTCCCAGCAAAGATTTTTAAGAAAACTTGTGACAGAAATAAGAATGAGATCTGAATTCAAACACAGAAAAAAAATTCTACTGGGGGAAAAATAAAATCTTAGCTGATATTCTGAAAATGCTTGTAAGAAAAAGTTGGAGAATGACCTTTCAGACACAAGCTCTAAGAACCCTGGATACAGCAGGAGCTTTGGCTAACAGTCTGGGCCTGCTGAGCCAGATTTCCTTAGGGCTGCCCAGTAGACACCATGGATGTCTGGCTCAGTCTGCAGTGGGAGTCCTTCAGCTCCATCACAGAGTGCTCTCCAACATGTTATAGTTGTCCTTAAAGCTCTTCAATGTGAGGAAATGCTTGGCACCTTTATTTTCTGACTGGAGGGAAGGTATGTCACCTGGATAGTAGTTGAGGAGACTTCAGGGGACTGAGTTAGGTCTTTGGCTGCTGACTGGTGCTGTCACTGAGAGCTCCCAATTCTTGCTTTGACTACAGTGGCCAGCTCACTTAGGGCCTCTTGATAGCGCAGGTACTCTGGCCAAACACCCCATAGCGAGCTGTCTCGTAGCCATGCAGCAGGGTATCGATAAAGGCCTTCCTCACACCCTTGAAAGGAGTACTAGTGTTTTGAAGATCTGGCAAGTAGGAGTGGAAATTCTTGCCCATTAAGGAACAGGGGTGCCTGCCTTCAGCATGAAATGGGATCTCAGAAGCATGGAAAGTATCCAGAGCTTTCATCCTATACAGATAGTTGTAGCAACTTTGATTTCCCTGAGTTTCCAGATGTAGCAGTCTTGCATCATCATCTGCAAGGACCTGAGGTTCATACTTGATATCCTGAACCCTGGGTAGTCGAATATCAATCTCCTCTTTCAAGTCCTTGGGGACATTGTGTCCCACAGGGATATGGGGTCCCCTTCTAGATTTCATTGCAAAGCGCATAATTTGCCTCTTCACAAAAATAAACAGTAGTACAAATACCAGGCTCCCATAGGCCATCACCAGCACGACATTCACCCTGGATAGCCAGTTACTGCTGGACACCATGTCCTCCCTCCCCGTGCAGAAGTGCTCGGGTTTTCCTGCTGCCCTGCCTTGTTAGCCCAGGATCCACGGAAGCAACAGCGCCTGGGTTCCCTGGAGCTCCCCGGCATTTCCTTACGGGGGAAGACGGAGCCAGACCTGGTCTGAAAACATGGTGGATCTTGAAGCACATTTTTTTTATGGATATAGAATTCTATGTTGAGAGCTTATTTTTTCCAAAATATAACATGTGTCTCCCCATCACCTTTTTTATATAGCGTTTCTGAGGATGAGTCTATTGTAACTATTATCTTTGTTAATTTGTAGATAATGTAACTTTTTCCCCCCCTCTAACTTTTTTTAAGTTCTTTATCACTTCTCAGAAATTTCATAATGGTACAACTTGGTGTGATTTTTTTTGTGTGTATGTGCTTGAGTTTCTTTGAACCAGGTGTATTTGTGCTTATATCAAATTCTTCAAATTTGGAAAACTTTTGACTATTATTTCTTTAAGCATTAAAGCATTTTCTACTCCTCCCCTTATCTGTCTGGGACTGATACACACTGACACTGTTTTACAAACATTGATGCTCTGTTGACTTAAAATGTTTTTTTTGTTGTTGTTTGTTTGTTGTTGTTTTGTTTTTCCTCATTATGTTTCTTTGGGATAGATTGTTTTGCTGTATTTTCAAGTTTACTAATCTTTAGTTTTACTCTGCATAATCTGCTATTAAGTCCACCCTATATATTATTCATCGCACATGTTGTATTTTTCATCTCTATGTAACTAAGAACTTCTCAGCAATTTAAAAATGCAACTTCTGTTATATGCAATAATGTAGACACACTCAGAAACATTAAACTAAGTGAAATAAACTAGATGCAATATTCTGCAGACTACATGACTCCATTTATATGAATTTATGAAAAGGGCAAACAGTAGTGGCAGAGAGATGATCACTTATTGTATACTTGGAGTAGGTGCACGTGCTGACAGCAAAAGGGCAGGAAGGCATTTTGTGGGTGTGAAGTAGCCTAGGTCGTAATTGGGATGATAGCTGTGGTTATCATTTGTCACATCCATCAATTTGTATTCTTATAATTGGGTTAAGAATGGGGAATTTCTTAGAAATGCTCTATCCAAATTCATCTTTCTAGAATTGAGTGAGAATATTTTCATTCTTTCTGATTAGTGATCTCCCCCCAAGAGTGGACAGAAGTTTTCCAACTCCATATCTCCAGATGTTGCATTTGGAGAGAGATATATTCATTTCTTTTCTCCTTATGTTTATGTTGTTAATTACCTTTTGAACTTATGGAGGATATTTATGATATCTAACATCTTTGTTGACTAATTTTATCACTTATAATATCTTTGTTTTCAATGATCCAGGCCTTCTTTGATTATGATTTCTCTGTTTCTACTTTGCACATTTTTGAATGAATGCAGGTTTTGCACATTTTTTTGTGTGTGTTGGGTTGTTAGGTTTTGTAGTTTTATTTTAAGGAGTGTCACACTTTATTCTGACTTCAATTTAAGTTACTTTTGATCAGTTTTGACCTTTACCAGTATTCCTCTTGAACTTTCTGGGTCAGGTTTAGAGCAGCCTTTCATATAGTGTGAATTTAGTATCACGACCCAGGTTCTTTCATTCTGGGTATTTCATCCAGTGTCCCAAGTCTTTCTCCCCTTTGGCTGGTGTGAAAATTAAGTTTCATCCCCATTTGGTGTCTAGGTACTCGTCTGCCTTCAGCTTTCAGGAGATTCTTTCCCTGCTTTTGGTAGTTTTCCATTATGCACAGTCAAATAGTACTTAGGCAAAGACTTGAGGAGACCATTTGCAGATGTCTGGGGCTTTCTCTGTGTTTATCTCATATATTCTTCCTGCAAATTTTATCCACACTACTCACCCTGAGCCATCTCTTCAACTTGACAAGACCATCAGACTGAATTCCCTTTCCCCAAGTAGTATTCTGGAAACTGCTTTGGGACAGTAATCGTGTGCAGACATAGGGGCCACCTTATTTCTGTCACCTTACATGTTTATAGATTATGATATTCCTTCTGTTTTAATAACTGAAATTCATTTTTTCATACATTCTGTCTGTTTTTCTGGTTGGTTAAGGCAGAAGTTTAAATATGATTCCAGTTTTCTCATGATAATTAGAAACAAAAGTCCTTGATAAGCAGTTTTTGAGTAATCAACTTTTTTGATTAGGCTATGAATCATATTCTTGTTGCCAATAAAGACCTGTTGAGGTAAAGGAGCGGGACTGGGTAAAAGCCTTAGGGAAATAGACATAGGAAAAGTACATTGATTTTATAGTTTTAAGCACATAATCTCCTGTGTGGTAGTAGGTCCATCAGTACTCCAGAAGAGCCGAGGCTGGTGTTCTTCATACCGAGTCCTTAGGGCATGGTAGCTGTGCTGTGTGTAAGAGTCAAGACAAGTGACTCTTACAGTCAAGACACTGTAAGAGTGGGGATATTTCATCTTCACGTCAGGATATCTGAGCACTCTAGGATTTACACTTTGCATTTCCCTAGCAACTGTTTTTTTAGGATGACCAGATACACTAGCGTGACAGGCGAAGAGTCTCCCCCCCACATCTAAACTCGGAAGCCAGACTAGAGATCTGAATGCACTGTTATTATAGAAAGAAGTTTGCTTCAGAGTTGAGCTGGTGCTGTTAACTTTCAATTAAAACTATTTTGATCTGTCCTAAGTTGCAGGACAGGGTGACAATAGAGGAATAAATAAATATGAGGCTCAGGCTTAGGATACTTTTTCTCATTTTTAGGATTCAATAAAAACTAAACAAAGAGGCCCATTACTCCTATTGGGAGGTTCATCAATTCTTTTAGAAGTGTGCAAACATTTATTATCTGTGAGCTTGAATTTTTCACATTTCTTTATACTCCTAGTTGTTTCATAAAATATTTGATCCTTCTTGCCTATGAATACATTTCTGATCTAATCCATTAGTTAGTGAGTTGCTTTATGTGTATGTCTTATTTACATATGTACTTCAGATGGTTCTGCATTGCAGATTGTACTATTTTGGTTCATTTTGATTACAAGAAAAACAGATCTTTGTTACTTTTGATTATGATAATTTATGGGGATTTTAGTCTCTGTATTAAGAAAGGTAGGAAGACAGAAAATTATACCAAGAACCACTTAGCTAAACACCAAGAACAAGAACATATTTAGGATACTATATGAGGGTTCTCTAGAGGAAGAGAATCAACAGGAAGTATAATTATTAACAGAGAACTTATTAGGTTGGCTTATGTGACCAGAAGCTGGATAGTCCACAATGACCTTCTGCAGGCTGGAGAGCTGGGAGAACCAGCAACAGTGCATACCAAGAGGCAAAAGCCCCAGAACACAAGGGATCAACAGTGCTACCCTAGCTAAAACCAAAGGCTTCTGGAAACTCCCTGGAGAATCACTTGCAGAGTCTGCTTTGGAAGAGTGAAGAAGGAGAGTCTGATATCCCCAGATGATGGAGGCAGCAATCGAGAACCCATTTAAGAAGAATCGAGCTTGCATCTGCTGCTGCTTCCTTGTTCTTCCAACTTTTATTCCATCTAAGCCACCATACTATTGGAAGGTGCTGCCCATGCTTGGGGAGGGTCTCCCCTTCAGTTGGCTATCTCACATGCCAATCATTCCTAGACACACCTCACTGACATACCCAGAATCCTCTTTATCCTTGGCATCTCTTAATTCAATCAAGTTGACAATTCAAAAATTCACCATTATAGATACGCTGTAGGTAAGGCAACTGGGTATCATGTCCTTGGTAGCCAGAGCATTCTCTGCGGTTCCCTACCCTCTACCCTGTTGTTTTGATCACAGTGTCCCTCCTTCTGTCTTTGCTCCTCTCTATGGATTGACTGTTCTCTCTTACTCATGGCTTCTGCCTATTTATGGCTTTACCGCATCATAGCTTCCATCTCTGCCTTCTGTCTACAGGTGTCTCTTTTCCTGTCCTGCTTTTTTCTGTTTAGAATTTCTGCATTCTGATTTGGTTGAACTCTCATTCTGGATTGTAGCATAGGTTGCTGATCAGATGGATGCTTGGAATAAGTGTCCAGTTTTGTTCTAATCACTTGTAACCACATGGCAGGAGTATGTATTATCAAACTGGTGGACCACCCCTAAGGAACCTTGAAGAAGCATTCTGAGATATTTGCTGGCTCTGTGAGATATCCCAGAAGGGGAAAACTTGGATGCCAGACATCTTATATTGTCTACACAGTGAGCAGATGTTAAGTAAATTTTTGTTGAATGAGTGGATTGACTAAATAAGAAATCCATTCTACTCTGAGTGAATGAGCACTTGACTAAACATCCTATATACTCTCATCTGTGCCCTCTCTGCCTCTTTTTGTTTCCCTCTTCTCTTTTCCCCTTTTTAACTTAATCTGAAATTGGACATTGCCAGGTAGAGCAGATCTTTTATTGTTGAAGGAAATAAGATGTTTCATGTTCTATAGCATCTTATCTCCTGCCAGCTAAGTGCCTCATTCCTCATTTGCCTCACAGAACAGCATTGAGATTGAAGTGGGATCCTTTATCTAGATTCCCCAAACCCAGTGTCTGTGCATAGGAACTTCATAATAGTAGTTGGATATTATTTTTCTATTCTCTTCATGATTGGTCCCTCACTTCAGTGAATTCCAAGCTCCAAAATTGCTTTGAAATGTTACCCCTTTTGCATTAGGAGGTCCTCTTTGTTTCTATGCCATTGATTTTTTTTTGAGGGAGTAGTAAACAAAGTAAGATATTCATAAGAGGCATTGATAATTTATGTCTCTTTCCTTATAAAATTTTTCATTTTAGAAGAAGCATTTGTTAAACCCAAGGAGTTAACTTAAAATATCTATGCCTTTAGTAAATATGCATTCAGTTAGGGGCATCTCTTCCATGAATATTCAGACAGAAAAATAGAGCGGGAAATATATTCTGGCTTATTTGGTTTTATCAGTTCAAGTTCTGAATAAATCTAATCAATAATGTTAATGTCAAGTTTAATTTCTACAC